AGATAAAGAAAAGGAGGAAGGAAGGAGAGAGGTAAAGATGGAAGGAAGGAGAGAAGGAAAGAAAAGAAGGAAGGAGGGAAAGAAGGAGAAAAAAGGGAGGGAAGGAAAGAGAATGGGAAGGATGGAAGCAAAAAGCGAAGGAAGGAAGGGAAGAGGTAGAGAAGGAAGAAAGGAGAGAAGGGAAGAAAAAAAGGGATGGAACGAAAGAAAGAGAGAAGGAAGGAAGGATGGAAGCAAAGAGCGAAGGAAGGAAGGAAAGAGGTAGGGAAGGAAGAAAGGGGAAGGAAAAGTAAGAGAGAAGGAAGGAAAGAGGTAGAGAAGGAAGGAGAGAAAGAAAGAAAAAAAGGAAAGAGAGAGAGAAGAAAGAAAAGGGAAAGAAAGGAAAGAGAGAAGGAAGGATGGGAGAAAAAAGCGAATGAAGGAAGGAAGAGGTAGAGAAAAAGAAGGAGAGAAAGGAAGGAAAAGGAAAAGGAGGAAGGAAAGAGGTAGAAGGACAGAAAAAAGGAAAGGAAGAAAGAGGAAGGAGGGAAAGAAGCATAAAAAGGAGGGAAGGAAAGAAGGGAAGAGAGAAGGAAGGATGAAGAGAAAGAGCAAGGAAGGAAGGAAAGGTAGGGAAGGAAGAAGGGAAGGAAAGAAAGAGAGAAGGAAGGAGGAGGTAAGAAGGAAGGAGAAGGAAAGAAAAAAAGGAAGAAAGAAGAGAAGGAGAAAGAGGATAAGGAAGGAAAGAGAGAAGGAAGGATGGAAGCAAAAAGTGAAGGAAGAAAGGAAAGAGGTAGAGAAGGAAGGAAGGAGAGAAAGAGGGAAGAAAAGAAAGAAGGAAAGAGGGAGAGATGGAAGGGAGAAAGAGGAAGGAAAGAAAGAGAGAAGGAAGGATGGAAGCAAAAAGTGAAGGAAGGAAGGAAAGAGGTAGAGAAGGAAGAAAGGAGAGGAAGAAAGGAAGGAAAGAAAGAGAAGGAAAGAGGAAGGGAAGGAAGCAGGAAGAAAGGAGTGAAGCCACAGAAGGAAGTAAGAAGTGAAGGAAAGTAGAGAAGGAAGGAAAGAGGTAGAGAATGAAGAAAGAAGAAAAAGAAAAAGGGGAAGGAAGGAAAGAGGTAAAGATGGAAGGAAGGAGAGAAGGAAAGAAAAAAGGGAAGAAAAGAAGGAGCGAAGGAAGGAGGGAAAGAGGGTGGGAAAGAAAGCGAAGGAAGAAAGGAAGGAAAGAGGTAGAGAAGGAAGAAAGGAGAGAAAGGGGAAGGAAAAGGAAAAGGGGAGAGGAAGGAAAGAGGTAGAGAAGGAGAGAAGGAAAGAAAAAAAGGGAAGGAAGGGAAGAGAGAAGGAAGGATGGAAGCAAAAAGTGAAGGAAGGAAGGAAAGAGTTAGAGAAGGAAGAAAGAGGTGATAAAGAAAAAGGGGGAAGGAAGGAAAGAGGTAAAGAAGGAAGGAAGGAAGGAAGGAAGGAAGGAAGGAAGGAAGGAAAAAAAGGGGAAGGAAGAAAAGGAAGAAAAAAGGGAAGAAAAGGGAGAAAGAAGGAGAAGGTGGAAGGAAAGAGAAGGAAGGAAGGAAAGAGGTAAGAAGGAAGAATGTAGAGAAGGAAAGGGAAAGGGGAGGAAGAAAGAGGGAGCAAAGGAAGGAGGGAAAGAGGGTGGGAAAGAAAGAGAAGAAGGATGGAAGAAAAGCGAAGGAAGAGGTAGAGAAGGAAGAAAGAAGAGAAAGGGGAGGAAAGAAAAAGAAAAAGGGAGGAAGAAAGAGGTAAAGAAGGAAGGAGAGAAGGAAAGAAAAAAGGAAGGAAGAAAAGAGAGTGAAGGAAGAGGAAAGAGGTGGAAAGAAAGGAAGGAAGGAGAAGGAAGGAAAGAGGTAGAGAAGGAAGGAAGGAGAGAAGGAAAGAAGAAAGGGAAGGAAGAAAAGAAGGAGCGAAGGAAGGAGGGAAAGAGGGTGGGAAAGAAAGAGAAGGAAGGGTGGAAGCAAAAAAAAGTAAAGGAAGGAAGGAAAGAGGTAGAGAAGGAAGAAAGTAGAGAAGGAAAGGAAAAAAGGGAAGGAAGAAAAGAGGGAGCGAAGGAAGGAGGGAGGGAAAGAAAGAGAAGGAAGGATGGAAGCAAAAAGTAAAGGAAGGAAGGAAGGAAGGAAGGAAGGAAGGAAGGAAAGAGGTAGAGAAGGAAAGAAGGAGAGAAAGGGAAGGAAAAGAAAAAGGGGGGGAAGGAAGGAAAGAGGTAGAGAAGGAAGGAGAGAAGGGCTGAAGAAAAGGGAAAGAAAGAGAGGAAGGAAAAAAGGAGAGAAAGAGGGAGGAAAGACTGGCCAGAACAATGCCTGGCGGGTACAGCTAGTTCTCCATAAAGTTAATAGGCAATCTGTTTGAGGAATGCGTCACATGGGCAGAGAAAGCCCAGTTGACAAACCTGTCTTGAGACACACCGCTGAACAGGAAAAACAAACTAAGACAGTGGATCCTGTACGATTTGGGGGCCAACACCCACCAGGCCCAACGGGGGCTCAAATGCCATCTTTCAGGCGCATCAAGTGTGGAATAAATCCCTGCAGTGGGATTGTGGATGGAGAGTGTGAAGGGGAGGGAATAATAATAAAATCTCCCCCTGGCCTCCAGCGCTTGTTTCCCTCGAGCCAAGTCAGCCGCCAATCCACAGGACGGGCTTGTTTGGTGCGCTTGCACAAAGCGGCGGCTCCGGTTACAGCCGAGTCGGAAATGAATGGCCCCGAGGGAGGAGAGAGAGTCAGGGAGCAGGTGCAGCCGGCGTTACGCTGCCACAACTTAATTTAAAAGGTTTCCCCAAAGGACACGGAGTTACTTACGTAATACGCCAAGCTAGCACTCCATCTCAAGCCGCACTCTCCGCCCGCGCAGGGAAAGCGCGTCCGAAAGCGCTCCTGGATCTCAAACAGTTTCCTCAACATATTGTCAAAGGCTAACACGGCCAAAATCACTGGGTTGTTGTAGGTTTTCTGGGCTAACTGGCCATGTTCCCAAAGCATTCTCTCCTGACGTTTCGCCCACATCTATGGCAGGCATCCTCAGAGGTTGTGAGGTCTGTTGGAAACTATCTGTGGAATGATGTCCAGGGTGGGAGAAAGAACTCTTGTCTGTTGGAGGCAAGTAGGAATGTTGCCATTGGCCAGCTTGATTAGCACTGAATGGCCTTGCAGCTTCAAAGCCTGGCTGCTTCCTGCCTGGAAGAATCCTTTGTTAGGACGTAGGAAGGAGACTCTTGTCTACTTGAGGCAAGTGTGAATGTTGCCATTGGCCACCTTGATTAGCACTGAATGGCCTTGCAGCTTCAAAGCCTGGCTTCTTCCTGCCTGGTGGAATCCTTTGTCCAGGGTGGGAGAAAGAACTCTTGTCTGTTGGAGGCAAGTGGATATGTTGCCATTGGCCACCTTGATTTACATTGAATGGCCTTGCAGCTTCAAAGCCTGATGCTTCCTGCCTGGGGGAATCCTTTGTTGGGAGGTGGGTGGGAGAAAGAACTCTTGTCTGTTGGAGGCAAGTGTGACTGTTTCAATTGGCCCCCTTGATTAGCGTTTAATGGCCTGACAGTTTCAAGGTGTGGCTTCTTACTGCCTGGGGGAATCCTTTGTTGGGGGGTGATTAGTGTTAGGGATTCCTCATTTTCAGAAGACGAGTAGGGAAGTGCTCAGGAATTGGAGGGAGAAGAAGAATCAGACAATGAGGTTTTATAGATGCCCACATTTCTAGAGAGACGAAAGGAGACAGAGCACAAACAGCGTTCAGCTAGGAGAGCTGCTAAAAACGCTGAGCTAATTGGGAGACACCCTAGCACTTCCTGATAAATGCTAATCAAGGTGTTTTTTTTTTTCACATCGGAAGCAGCTTGAGAAACTGCTTCTGGTGTGAGACAATTGGGCGTCTGCAAGGACATTGACCAGGGGACACCCAGATGTTTTGATGTTTTACCATCCTTGTCCACGCACGGGGAGCTGGAGCTGAAAGAGGAGGTCAATTGCGCTCTCCCCGGATTTGAATCTCCGACCTGTCGGTCTTCAATCCTGCCGGCATAAGGTTTTAACCCATAGCCAATTGAAATATTCACGCCTAGCTCCAGCAGACAAGAGTTCTTTCTCCCACTCACCTCCCAACAAAGGATTCCCCCAGGCAAGAGCCAGCCAGGCTTTGAAGCTGCAAGGCCATTCAATGCTAATCAAGCGGGCCAACTGCAACATTCACTCCTGCCTCAAGCAGACAAGAGTTCTTTCTCCCACCCTGGACAAAGGATTCCCCCAGGCAGCAACCAGCCAGGCTTTGAAGCTGCAAGGCCATTCAATGCTAATCAAGCTGGCCAATTGCAACATTCACACTTGCCTCAATCAGACAAGAGTTCTTTCTCCCACCCACCTCCCAACAAAGGATTCCCCCAGGCTTTGAAGCTGCAAGAGTTTTTTTAACCGAGAGTTTTTTTCTCTCCCACACTAGACATTCCAGAGATATATCACCCCATGTTCTTAGTTTCCAAGAGACCTCACAACCTCTGAGGATGCCTGCCATAGATGTGGGAGAAACGTCAGGAGAGAATGCTTCTGATACGTGGCCACAGAGTCCGAAAAACCTACAGCAGCCCAGTTTCCTCAAGCTCAGCTTTGCCCTCTCAGGCTTTGAAGCTGCAAGGCAATTCAGTGCTAATCGAACTGGCCAGTGGCAACATTCACACTTGCCTCCAACAGACAAGTGTTCTTTCTCCCACCCACCTCCCAACAAAGGATTCCCCCAGGCAGGAAGCAGCCAGGCTTTGAAGCTGCAAGGCCATTCAGTGCTAATCAAGGTGGCCAAGTGCAACATTCACACTTGCCTCCCACACTAGACATTCCACAGATATATAACCCCATTTTCCTAGTTTCCAACAGACCTCACAACCCCTGAGGATGCCTGCCATAGATGTGGGAGAAACGTCAGGAGAGAATGCTTCAAGAACATGGCCACATAAACCTACAAGAACCCGGTTTTCTCAATCTCAGCGTTGCCCTCTCAGATGGGGATCTGGAATACTCTTTCTCTACCTCCTTGTCTTTCAGGCCCAAGAGCAGCACTTCCTCCATGAGGGTGAGGCGGATGTCTTTGCAGTCGCCGGGGTCTTCCTCCCCGAGGCTCTTGTCCAGCACAGAGTCCTCCTCGCCCTCCGCTCGCTTGTCGCCGTTCCGGCCAACGTCCGCCCGCCGTCCCCGGTGAATTAACGTGGTCATGGTCTCCCTGCCGCACCTGGGAAGGAAAACATGAGTTACGCATGGCACCTTTTGAATTCTAACCTCCTTAATTCCTAACCTGGTTGGCTATGACGCTCTACCCAAAACCCAACAAAATCTATATATATCGATATAAATAAAAATATAATGTTAGTTTGTGGGATTGACAGAACTCAAAAACCAGTGGGCCAACACAAATACACACACACAGATCCCAGTGGAACAGACTTAAAACCCTCAAAAATACACCATATATACATATACACATACACTCATATACATATACACATGCACACATTCATACACACACATGTATATATATATACACAAACACACACAAATATACATATATACACACTCATACATAGACACATATATACATATACACATGCACACATATACATATACACATACATACACACATATATACACACAAATATGCATATAGAAAAGCACACGCATAAACACAATATGCATGTACACATATAAAGACACAAATACATATATATATACACACATACACACACACACACACATACACAAATATATACACACACATAAACACACACACACAAAACCCCAGTGGAACAGACTTAAAAACCCAAAGAATACACCATATATACAGATACATATACACTCATATACATATACACACTCATATACATATGCACATTCATACACACACATATATATTTGCACAATATACACACATATACATACACAAATATATACACACAAATATGCATATAGAAAAGCACACACATAAACACAATATGCATGTACACATATAAACACACAAATACACAAATATATACACACATCTATATATACACACACAGATATACACCCACACATCTATATAAATAAAAGTGTAATGTTTGTTTGTGGGATTAACAGAACCCAAAAACCACTGGGGGAATTGACACCAAATTTGGACACAAGACACCTAACAACCCAATGTATGTCCTTCACTCAATTTTTTTTGATTTTGTCATTTGGGAGTTGTAGTTGCTGGGATTTATAGTTCACCTACAATCAAAGAGCATTCTGAACTCCACCAATTATGGCATTGAACCAAACTTGGCACACAGGACTCCCATGACCAACCAAAAACACTAGAAGGGTTTGGTGAGCATTGACTTTGAGTTTGGGAGTTGTAGTTCACCTATATCCAGAGAGCACTGTGGACTCAAACAATGATGGATCTGGACCATACTTGGCACAAATACTCAATACGCCCAAATGTGAACACAGATGGAGTTTGGGGGAAATAGACCTTGACATTTGGGAGTTGTACTAACTGGGATTTATAGTTCACCTACAATCAACGAGCATTCTGAACCCCACCAACGATAAAATAGGGCCAAACCTCCCACACAGAAACCCCCATTACCAACAGAAAATACTGTGGTCTTTGGCGACCCTTCTGACACCCCCTCATGACCCTCCCCCCAAGGGTCCCAACCCCCAGGTTGAGAAATGCTGCTTTAAGGCCATCCAGTCCAACTCTCTTCACCAGGGCAAGAAAACATAATCAAAGCCCTCCTGACAAAGAGCCATCCAGCCATAGATATAGATAGATAGATAGATATGAGTCACACACACACGTGTATATGACAGATATAGTATCATAGATTTGAAAGGGACCCCTATGTGTAAATGTTAAACATTAGGAATCAACTGGTTTTCCCTGTAATAGGCAGTAAGAGCATCCAAAGCTTTAGAGAGCTTCGGTTCGACCATTTCAAAGCTCCTTGCTTGAGTGGTGATGGCACGATCGTCAGCGTAGATGAAATTCTCTATCCCTTCTGGCAGTGGCTGGTCATTTGTGTCAATGTTAAACATTAGGAATCAGCTGGTTTTCCCTGTAATAGGCAGTAAGAGCATCCAACGCTTCGGAGACCTTCTGTTCAGCCATTGCAAAGCTCCCTGCTTGGATGGTGATGGCGTGATCATCAGCGTAGATGAAACTCTCGGTCTCTTCTGGCAGTGGTTGGTCATTTGGGTAAATGTTAAACATTAGGAATCAGCTGGTTTTCCCTGTAATAGGCAGTCAGAGCCTCTCAAGCTTCAGAGAGCTTATGTTCAACCCTTTCAAAGCTCCCTGCTTGGGCGGTGATGGCACGATCATCAGCGTAGATGAAACTCTCTGTCTCTTCTGGCAGTGGCTGGTCATTTGTGTGAATGTTAAACATTAGGAATCAGCTAGTTTTCCCTTTAATAAGACCACCTAAAGCTTCAGAGAGTTTCTGTTCAACCATTTCAAAGCTCCCTGCTTGGGCAGTGATAGCACGATCGTCATCATAGATGAAAGACTTTGTCCCTTCTGGTAATGGCTCGTCATTTGTGTAAATGTTAAACATGGACGGAGCAAACACACACTCCCCTGAGACAGGCCGCTCTTCTGTTTACGTCATCTGCTTCTCTATCCCTGAACTCAACAAAAAAGCTCCTGTTTTGTAGCCGATTTCCTATGAAGTCAAATGCTATGGAAGTCTGGGGATTGCATCTTATCAAGGTCCTTTGCCTCACCAAATTACAACTCTCAGAATCCCTTTTGCAACTGGATTCTAGACTAGAAAAGGAGTCAAAATGATAGGCCTGAAGCAAAGAAAAGGTAACAATAGAATGTAACGCTATACGCACATAATGACTTCCTTCATGACGAAAATAAACATAAGCATTCAGTTACAAGCAAGGAAGTGTGACTCTTCCCTCTCCCACCACTTTTTTATTTTGTATCTTTTTGCAATATACAGTAGCTTTATTTGCAAACTCAAATGAATGGCTTTTTTGTTTCTAAAGTGCTCTAAGAACACTTTTTGACACATCCTTCCTTCTAAAACAAATCAGTTTTGATGCAATAACTATGTAATCGTATGTAATGTAAACAGGCCATTCATTGGAAAAGTGAGGTTTATATATCTGTGGAATGATGTCCAGGGTGGGAGAAAGAACTCGTGTCCGTAGAAGGTGTGAATGTTGCAATTGGCCACCTTGATTAGCATTGGAAGACCTTGCTTCCAGAGAGGAAACAATCAGGGCCAGCTAACACCTCCAACAATGGATTCCTCCAGGCAGGAAGCAGTCAGGTCTTCAAACTGTAAGGCCATTCAATGCTAATCAAGACAGCCAATTGCAATATTCACCGTTGCCTCAAACAGACAAGAGTTGTTTCTCCCAACACCTCCCAACAAAGGATTCCCCTGGGCAGGAAGCAGCCAGGCTTTGCAGCTGCATGGCCATTCAATGCTAATCAAGGTGGCCAATTGCAACATTCACACTTGCCTCAAACAGACAAGAGTTTTTTCTCCCAACCACCTCCCAACAAAGGATTTCCCTGGGCAGGAAGCAGCCAGGCTTTGCAGCTGCATGGCCATTCAATGCTAATCAAGGTGGTCAATGGCAACATACACACTTGCCTCAAACAGACAAGAGTTCTTTCTCCCACTCACCTCCCAACAAAGGATTCCCCTGGGAAGGAAGCAACCAGGCTTTGAAGCTGCAAAGCCATTCAATGCTAATCGAAGTGGCCAGTTGCAACATTCAGCCTCACCTCAAACAGACAAAAGTTTTTTCACCCATCCACCTCCCAACAAAGGATTCCCCCACACAGGAAGCAGCCTGGCTTTGAAGCTGCAAAGCCATTCAATGCTAATCAAGACAGCCAATTGCAACATTCAGCCTTGCCTCAAACAGACAAGAGTTCTTTCGCCCACCCACCTCCCAACAAAGGATTCCCCCGGGCAGGAAGCAGCCAGGCTTTGAAGCTGCAAGGCCATTTAATGCTAATCAAGACAGCCAATTGCATCATTCAGCCTCGCCTCAAACAGACAAGAGTTCTTTCGCCCACCCACCTCCCAACAAAGGATTCCCCCAGGCAGGAAGCAGCCAGGCTTTGAAGATGCAGGACCATTCAATGCTTATTAAGGTGGTCAATTGCAACATTCACCTTTGCAGATATATAAACCTCACTTGCCTAGTATCCAACAGACCTCACAACCTCTGAGGATGCCTGCCATACATGTGGGAGAAACATCAGGACAGAATGCTTGTGGCACATGGCCAGACAGCCTGGAAAACTGACAGCAACCCACCAAAATCAAGACAACTTCCCAAAATGACTCTAAAACAGAGGTCACAATGCGAAAACAAGAAAGGTAGAGAGGGAATCGAGAAAGTAAAAACTACAATACGGGGGTGAGACAACAGGAAGTGAGAGAAATCTCCTGGAAGAGATTATTGTTGTTATTATTATTATTATTATTATTATTACACAACAAGATGAGTCCGCAGCAGACACTCACCTGGCTGTTGTATTGGATCACACGTCAGACACTTCCCAAGTGTCTAGAGTTGTTGTTGTTGTTATTATTTTTATTATTATTTGAAACACAACTAGATGAGTGCACAGCAGACACTCACCTGGCTGTTGAATTGGATCACATGTCAGACACTTCCCAAGTGTCTAGGACTATTATTATTATTATTATTATTATTATTATTATTATTATTATTATTTGAAACACAACTAGATGAGTCCACAGCAGACACTCTGCTGGCTCTTGTATTGGATCACACCTTGGACACTTCCCATGTGTCTATTATTATTATTATTATTATTATTATTATTATTATTATTATTATTTGAAACACAACAAGATGAGTCCGCAGCAGACACTCACCTGGCTGTTGAATTGGATCACATGTCGGACACTTCCCAAGTGTCTAGAGTTATTATTATTATTATTATTATTATTATTATTTGAAACACAAGATGAGACCGCAGCAGACATTCTGCTGGCTGTTGAATTGGATCACACATCAGACACTTCTCAAGTGCCTAGAGTTGTTGTTGTTGTTGTTGTTATTATTATTATTATTATTATTATTATTATTATTATTATTATTATTATTATTATTAGAAACACAACAAGATGAGCCCACAGCAGACACTCTGCTGGCTGTTGTATTGGATCACACGTCGGGCACTTCCCAAGTGCCTAGGACTGTGTG